CCAGGGGAAGCTCCTGCATTGAGCGTCTGCCCCCTGGTGGTCAGTGCACATCATAGCAACCGGTCGTTCCACCATTCGATCGATTTGCATATTATCCTTTTATTATATAGGATGTGCATAGCCCACGGACACAGGCAATAGGGTAGTGAAGACCTTGGGGGGGTGAGGACGGGGGTTAAAGAGGGGGATGGGAGATATCTGTAATATCAACAATTTAAAAAAAAAACATTTTAAAAAATTAAAACTATTTAAAAAATAAAACAACAAAAGACTCGAGGGCTGGTCTGGAATTACTCTCCCCCTTCAGCTCCTCTCGTCCCACGGTCTCCTTGGTTCGGGATGTTCTGATGCGTTTACCCTTGAGGTCTGGACCTTCATTTTGGGTTTCCTGGCCTGCCCTCTGCCTGCCCAGCCGTCCCATGTCAGGTAGCCTGGGCGTTCAGTGAGTGGAGCCTCACCTGCTGCCCGCCGTTGGTAACCATGGTTACTGCCCCTCTCGGGATCACTTTCTCGGCCACGGTGGGGGGGAACCCCCTGGTTCTAATGCTGGACAGATACTCAGAGGAGAGCTGGGGGAGGGTGATAAATACTCCGGAGACATAATGACGGGACTGGTGGCCAGTCTGGGTCCCTGGGGCAGTGCTTTAGGTAGCACTGGGGTGCCACTGGGCTGAGTGTCCCCCTACACAGCCCAGGGGTGGCCCTTACAGGCCTGAGCAGAGGTCAGCTTGCCGGCAGCGGGAAAGGGAGGCAGTGGTGGGGAGGGCCTCCCAGAGGTGGGCGGTGCCTGGGAGGCACACAGGCTGACTACCCTAAGGACCTCTGACCTGCTTTTTCCAGGGGGAAGGGCAACCTTTGACCTCCTGGGCTAAATGGCGTGGGTGGCCTTGTGTGTCCTGAGTAAGCAAGGGCAGTGGGGAGGCGCTCGCACTCCCGCTGGGCCTCGGGGACTCCTTTCAGAGCACCCCGAGGTGGTGCCCGTGCCTGTGGGCAGGTGCCCTGGGGCCGTGCTGAGCAGAGGCCCCTGGAGCCAGTTTCCCAGGAGGTGCCCTCCCTCTTTCAGGCTGTGCTCAGTCCAAGTGACTCACACACATGCACACACACATGCATGCACACACACACCCTGACCCGGTGCTATGAACCGCTGAGCAACTGGTCCCTTGGTCATTTGGTCGCTTCATCCCTGGCAAGGTTTTCTTTGTTTTTATTTTTACTGATTTCAGAAGAGAGAGAGAGATAGATACAATGATGAAAGAACCATTGATCGGCTGCCTCCTGCACACCCCTCCCCTCCACCGGGGATCAAGCCCACAACCGGGGCATGTGCCTTTGACCGGAATCGAACCCGGGACCCTTCAGTCTGCAGGCCAACGCTCTATCCACTGAGCCACACTGGCTGGGCAGCAGGGTTTCCCTTGTAATGGTCCCCAGGATGGTATGGGATGAGATGACCTCTGCACGTGGGCTGTTCAAACTCCTATGGGGCAGGAGGGGCCATATCTGTGGACAGATGAGGCTACTGTGGGGTTTGCAAGTCCCAGGTCCCCCTGTGGGTGAGGTAGGTCCTGAAGGGTATGCACTTGACAAACGGGTTTGGGGAGGAGAGGGTACAGACGCTGAAGGGCTGCCCTGGTAGGAAAGCTGTGACCTGGCTTAGGGGATGTCTGTGGGGGCCTGTGGAGCATAAGATGAGAGAATGAGGGGGCGGAGCTGGGGTGCCAGATTGGCAGGCACCTGGGGTCCTGATGTCCGAGGCCGGGGTGAGGGAACTGGGGAGGGGGTCGGGGAGAGGGGGCAACCTGAGACGTTGGGAGGGAATTTGGGAGGCAGAGTTGGGTAGATCGGAGCGAAGGCAGGCTCTTTTTTTTGTCCTCACCCGAGGATATTTTTCATTGATTTTAGAGAGAGAGGAAGAGAGGGAAAGCCAGAGAGAAACATGGATGTGAGAGAAACACATTGATGGGTTGCCACCTGCAGGAGCCCCGACCAGGGCCGGGGCCAGGGAGGAGCCTGCAACTGACGGACCTGCCCTTGATGGGAATCGAACCCGGGACCCTTTGGTCCGCAGGATGACGCTCTCTCCACTGAGCGGAACTGGCAGGGCATGAAGGCAGACTCTTGCTGGAGGCTGGCAGGGGGAAGAGGGTGCTGCTGGTGGTAGCTCTTTGGATGGTAGCCAGTGTGGGTGACCAGAGCCTCTGGTTCTCTCTCTCTCTCTCTCTCTCTCTCTCTCTCTCCCACACACACACACACACACACACACACGCACGCACGCACGCACACACTTGTGGAGCCCCTGGGGCTTCCAGGGTGATGTGTGTGACAAATGCTGCCGCCCGGGGGCCTGGAGCCACCTTCCCCAAGGCCTGGCGGGGTCCCGGCTGGTGCGCCA